ATCGAGTCAGGTCGGGGCAACCTGTTAGCCAGATTCCATCCGCAATGGGCACCCCGTATACCAACCACATCACAGACGTCTGTACGGGGATTGGTGTCTATGTATATAAACAGACGACATGAGTTCGAACCACACAAGTACTGCTTTCCTCCCTTCATACCTTATCTGTTTCGCTGATTCATGTAACATGCTCTAGAAAAAAAAATCAGTCAAAACCAGAATTGTTCATGGAAGGTGTAAGGAGGATCATGTTACTTCATTTTTTTTACGTTTATCAATAAAATACAGGTCTAAGTGTAACAATAGCTCTGCTCTAACCCGACATTGTTACAGACTCTAACCCGACATTGTTACAGAAACTGGTGAGTAGATCTAGTTAATTGTTCCGATTTTGCTAGTTCTACATTCCTCTGCTCCGTCGCCTCGGGAGGCGTACACACTCGTTCCCGCTCCCTTGTAGAGCGTCTTTACAGTGTTACGGAAAGTTCCGAAAGTTTGCACGACGTCTCAGACTATGGTGGTGGCATCAAGATGGAAATACAGATTTTGCAGGTATGAGGGTTGTGTTTTTGTGTTTACATCTGTATTTTCAATCTCTTTTTAATATGTGCTCTTAAGTTGATTTGAGTTGAACATAACGTGTTTACTATACTTTTATCTCTTGGATTCAGTTTTTTTTTTCATAATTTTTGTTTTGAACCAGATCGTTTATCCAGAGTGATAATTACAATTTCTTGTGGGTTGGCCGTCCCGGGGCGAGTGGAGTCATCACAATACGACGAAACCACTTTACCCGGAGGAAGCCACCCTATACTTCCTAACAGTTCATCCCTCGCCAGTACAACTCTGCATGCTACATGCAAAAACGTTTCATTTGTTGGGCACCTTGAAACTAGATAGTTATTATACGAGTATTATTTTGACGTTTCCCCCCCTATCGACTATGTTTAAGCGCCATTACTGAAATGTGAAGCAGCGTGGTGAAATCAGGCGCTCGTCAAAATAATCAATGTGAAGAAACTTGCAATTTTCCGCAGGTTTGTGAATTTTTATCGAATTTTTGTTTTTGGGGTCAACACCTTTTATGGCTATTAAAGAACTCATTTCTGTGTGGATTTTACTGAAAAACGTTGATTAAAGGCACACAAAATGTAAATTTTCAGTCACCAGGGACTCTTAAACTAAGGAACTAACTAATCTTTGTTCGCCATTTTCTCACAAATTTTACCTCTGAAAACAGGTGACCCCCGCCTCCTTCATTCTCAAATATCTCGACTTGTATTTAAGATAAACGGATATTTTTTTCATCCAAATAAAGACAAGTGAACAAGCTTTAAGATGATACCAATAACTATATGTGCCCAAAAATTGACGAGAACCTGATTCAACCACGCTGTCTCACAAATGTATGTGAGCGACGGACTGTTGAGGATAGTTTTGAGATAGTGCAATGGGGAAGGTAATATCTAATTAGACTCGTGATCTTTTGTAGGCCAAAATATATAGCGCCTTATCTACACTCCTTTAGGTTAAACGATATAAAAAAACAACAACATTTATCCTGTTCTCATCGTTATCATCACAAACCAGCTTGTTGCAGCGGAATTACGATATCTTAATCGATTATGTTCTGAAAGTGATATAAAAAGCCAGCACTTGTCTCCCCCCTCCACCACCACCCCCAGGGAATTTTTACGGGTGCCATATACAAAAAGGCCCTCCCATATTTTTCTTCCGTATCCGAGAATCTAGGGAGACAGAATGAGTGTGTGAGCGAAAGTGGGGACTTTGATTTCATTTCATTTGTTGTTTTTTTTGTCTTTTTCTTCTTTTTTTGACGTTTTCTTTTTTTACGTAAGAGAGAAAAAAAAAGAAACAGACGAAACGGTAGAGAAAAATCTGAATTGGACATGTCAGTACGCACCGAGTTCAAACCCGGTACATTTGGCATGAAAGGTGAGCACCTCACCTCATGGCCACATTTCCCCTTTGGCTCATACAAATGTCAAGCGGGCTTTTCCACGGCAACTGACGGGACATTTGGACTATACTTTTTTATAATGATAACAGTGCAATTCAATATCAATTTATTTATTTCAACTGTAATACATGATCATACTATTTAAAAGACATATTAAGGATCATAATAATAAATGCAGTCATTAGAAAAGAGTACTTTATGCAAATTCTGTGAGGTGTTTAGTTTCATTTGATGCTTGTTATACCTAATCTACTATATAGCAGATAATTTGTTTCGGAGTGCTTCTACACGGTAGGCCCATATGGCCCTTGTCAGATCTCAACAAAATAAAGTGAATACAGGCAGGTTTTTAAATTTCTCCATGTTGCTTTTTTGCTATTCTGTAATTCCTTGCTCATAACATGCAGTACTATAAAATATGTAGCAGCATAACAATTGGAGTCCTGTTCAAACACAACACTAAGGTGAACACAGTGCAAGTTACTGTTTCCTCCGTCCGCGTAAACTTGCTCCGCAAGAACGAAAAAACTTAGGAAAAGAACAAGCAAGAACTTTGGCACAAAAAAATATGTTGAAAAAAAATTCTCTTCACCTTTAGAACGAACGTCTGTTACTAAAACTTAGTGGGCTAAAGCTTGTCTCCACTTCATAACAACAAAGGTTCCACTTTGAAAACTCAGTGTGCTAGTTCAGGTGCTTTAGATAAGTAATATAGAATGTAGGTGCGATATGACACATATTTTCTTCTTTCTTCTAACAGTTTGGTGAAGACAGAAGGAGCAGCCTGCACGACCCCACCAGACGCTACAACAACCAGCTGATGAAGGAGACAATCAGCCTGCCCACACTGAAATAAACCTTTATGAAGAGGGGTGAAGAAGCATGGAGCACCCAGTCTTCCTAAGATCCCAGTTGTACATTTGAGGTAATCAAGTATTCTTCTTACTGTGTTACAGTAAGTATGCATACCACATGACCTCTCACTGGGCGGCAAACAAATAGGAAATAGTTCGCTCGAGTACTGGGTTCCTCTCTTCTTATCATATCTTTCTTGATGTTTTACAGTCTAGAAAAAAGACAGTTAAAATTGGGACTATTCAAAGAAGGAATAAGGGTAGGAGGTGTCTTTCTATTTACAAGTAATAAAGGGACGTATTTTTTGTTGTAAAGATAAAAAAAAGCATTCTTCATTTTGCCAGAAAGATGCATTGTGACCTATTATTTTACGATTTTCAATCACCTATAGATCTGTAACCTGTGCCACATGCAGACAGGCCCTCCCATATTTTTCTTCCGTATCCGAGAATCTAGGGAGACTGAGGGAGTGTGTAAGCAAAAGTGAGTTGTTTGGTTTTATTTCATCCTTATTTTGGCTTGTTTTTAAGTAAGAGAAAAATAAAGAAGAAACTGATGAAACGGAAGAGAAAAATCTGAATCGGACATGTCAGTACGCACCGAGTTCGAACCCGGTACATTTGGCATGAAAGGTGAGCACCTCACCTCAAGGCCACATTTCCCCTTTGGCTCATAGTAATGTCAAGCGTAAGGGTCTTGAACATCTAGCTCTCACTGGCAGAATTGAGGGCAAGCGAGGCAGGGGTAGGCCCAGAACAACATACTTAGGGAACCTAAACAAATGGGTAACAGGGAAAAATCAGGGAAACGTAGCTTTTCTGAGAGCATCCGAGCAAAGGAATGAATGGAAAATCATGATCGCCGATGTCTGTCGCAGATCTGGCACTGGATGATGATGAATGTCAAGCGGGATTTTCCACGGTAACTGACGGGACATTTGGACTATACTTTCTTATAATATAACACTGTATTAGTTGATTTATTTCAACTTTAATACATGATCATACCATTTGAAAGACATATTGCGAATCATAATATTAAATGCAGTCATTTGAGAGAGAAAACAAGTACGTTACGCAAATTCTGTGAGGTGTTTATTGCTTCTCGTTTTATATATATAGCAGATGCTATGTTTCCGAGTGCTTCTACACGGTAGGTCCTCATGGCAAATGTTAGATCTTAGCAAAGTGAAGTGAACACAGGCCAATTTCTAAATTTCTCCACGTAGTTTCTTTTTGTTATTCTATAATTCATTGCATATAATATTCAACACTATATGTGTAGCAACATGACAATTTGAATCGTGTTTAAACCCAAATCTTAGGTGAACACGGTATTGGTCTAACTGCTTTTATTCCACAATTATGTCACACCTTTGCTTTTCTTTTACCCGTCCTCTTGTACCTCTATGGCGTCGAGGGGAGAAAGAGCTTTCGGTCTCTAGCAAGCTGGATGGCCTGGCTGAGTGGGTTGTTGTGTGTCTTAAGGGTGTTCTTCACACCCTCGATCCAGGTCTTCCTTGGTCTTCCTCTTGCCTTGTACCCAGATATTCTTTTGTAGTACGCTTTACTGGCAAGCTTGTAAGGTGCCATACATTTGAGATGTCCAAACCATTGTGAGAAGATAAAGGTTTTGCCTGATACCCCAAAACAGCTAAATGCTAAGTCACTCAATTTGTCATGTTGCTACAAATTTGTTGTTTTTACCTCTAATGTCTCCACACTAATCGCTACCTTAGAATCACAAAGTTTTGTTTGACATTTTTGATCGTTTTGAGTTCCTAAGACCACAGGGTCAGAAACCAATACATTTTCTATCTGCTATATCAAAATCGTACCTTTTTTGAGAGTCGTTATTAAGATGTTACACGAAATTACGTCAGGGGAAGCTTGACATGTCGAAAAATATTTTGACATCAAGTTTCTCAAAACTAAGTACTGACCAAATAGAGGTTTGTAATTCTAGGGTAGTGTAATATCAACATTGTCAGATCAAGATTATTTAGGAATTGTTAAACATGGCTGCTTTGTGTGTAAGCCCTTATTTAAGGTTAAGAAAAAGTAATAGGGATATATAGGAAGGAGAACAATACGTTATAAAATTTTATAATGCATTCTCTTTTCTGGAAACAGAATATTGAAATACAGTGAAAACTGAAAGAAGATAACTTTTCTTCACAGTTTTATTGTGATAAGACAGGTAAATAAAAAATTTTACAAAGCGTTTTGCAAAGTGGAGGTTAAGGAAGGGTATACTCAGGTATCAGATATAAGGAATTTCGATTTTCAATTTTATCTATGATTTTGTGTTTTCATGTTGACCTTCAACTTTAAAAAATCCAACAGAGTTCCTTTTCCACTGCCTTATGTCTAGTCACTCTAGTCCCTTCATCTTGTTGTATTGGATAGTACTGTTAGCTTTACAAAGGAAGCTGTAATAAGTGTCTCGGCGTCAAGACTCTGTCTCCTTTATGAGGGAAGGTTTGATGTTGGCGTTCTTGGTATTGGTGTTTGGTGGGGTTCTGGTCTTACGGGTTTCAACATTTCTCAGTTAAATGGAAGGTGGTGTTTTTCTACTGATTCGGTAGCTGTGTCGAGCATTGATCTTCCATGGATTCGTTTCTTTGGTCATCTCTGTTCAACGATCTTTCTGTTTGTGTGGTTTTTGTCCAGTCTCTTTTAGCGCTCACTCATCTCCACAACTGATGCCTCTCTCCGCAGATCCAAAGGTTCCAGGTTTGTGTGGATTTCGCAAGCTGCAGTTGGAGTGGATCTCAAATCTCCTGAAATGGATCGTACAGCTTCATTCTAAAATTTGTCAACAAACCTCTGAGTTGGTTTGCTTCAGATTATCTGTGTGGTTATGTTATATTCCATGGTAGAGCGTACATAGCAAAATATAACTGTCTGAGTACATCCTTAACTGTTCCCCTTGAAGTGCTAACCAGCTGTCTGAGAAGGTTATGTCTCTTGTTGGCCTTAGCCTTCAGGTTCCAGATATGGTTTTTGCATGGAAACTGTCTGTCCAGTTCTATCCCAAGGTAAGTTGGATTTCCAACGTTTTCGAGTTTAGTTCCTTCAAGTGAGATGGTGAGATTTTGCTTTGCCACCTTGTGACTTTTCGTAAAGACGGTGTAAATTGTCTTGGTACAATTTGCTTTTAGTTTCCACTTGCAGCAGTAGTTGTCAAATCTATCTAGGTCCTCATTTATAAGTCGTGCACTGATGCCAGTTTATTTACTTGAATGCCATATGGCTAGGTCATCTGCATATAGGGCCTTCTCCGATTTTAGTATCTCAGGCAGGTCATTGATGAAAACAAGGAAGATTATGCAGCTCAGAGAGGAACCCTGGGGTAGGCCCTCCTCCAATACAGCTTTGGAGGACACACCATTGTTCATCTGGGTCTGGATTGTCCTGTCAATTAGGAACGTCTTTATTCATCTGTAGAGTTTCTCGTGGATTCCTGTCTGTGTCATCTTCCACAGGAGGCCTTTTCTCCATACCCTGTCGTAAGATTGTTGGAGATCAACGAATACTGCAACTGCAACTGTATGATTCTTTTCCTGGAAGCCATCAAGGACTTTCTGACTGAGCCTGAAGAGCTGGTCATCTGCTCGCTGGCCCGCACGAAATCCTGCTTGGTTGCTGTCCAAGGCACCGGTTATTTCCAACCACCAGTATAGGCGGTGGTTTATCATCCTCTCTGCTAGTTTTCTGATGCATGAGGTGAGTGAAATGAGTCGATAGCTTTTCATTTCTTCAGCGGGTTTTCTTTTCTTTTAAGAATAGGGATGATGGTGGCGTTTTTCCATGCTTTGGGGAATTTGTTTTTATTCCACGTCTTGCTGATTAGCTAGAGAAAAGTACCCTTTCCAGCGGGATTGAGGTTGACAAGCCTTTCATGGTGGATCTTATCTGGTCATGGGGATTTGCGAGGCTTCAGTTTCTTCATTTCCTGGGAAAAATAATAAATGGAGTTTGTATGTATGTTTGCAGATTTACCAAAGACATCGGTTAGATTCTTCACTGTGCGTGCAGGTGTTGTAAGTTGATTTTTTATGTGAGGAAGATTTGAGGAGATTTGAGCAACGAATTGTCACCGTACTTAGGTAAGCTTGTATCGGACTGTCGAAATACAGGGTGACCCAAAAACAAAAAACAACAACAACTGTACAACTTTTTTTTCTGAATAACTCGCACAAAATGTGTCCTAGAATGCTGTAATTTCGAACAAACATAATTCATTCAAAAAGAAATTGTGTGACATAAAATACACGAAGCAGAAACTTATTTTGAACACGGAAAAAGCTTAAAGAAAAAAGCTCCCGAAAACGCAAAGTCCATCAATTTTTAGCAATCTCGCAAAGGAAGTTGGGATAAGATTGGTTGATCTTTTTCTTTATTTTCTCTTTACCATTTGATTTTCCTTCCCTGTGACATTTAAACAACATCTAATTTCTTTTACCGAGTTAAACAAAACTAATGATTTCATTCTGAAATTCCTAGAAGCAGTGCTCTACGTGTCCTCCTTTGGACTCGACACATTTTTACGCGTCGTTAAAAATGTTAAATAGCGCCCAAACACAAGGACCTGCTAAACCATGGGTGTTTAAAGCCACATACGCTGTACATATACAGTATGAAGTTGCTTCTAGAGACGGTATGGAGTGGGGTGCCCAATAGACAGTATTTTTGGAGTTAACATATATTGAACACATTGCCATGCTCTGATCTATGTCATCTCAGCCTAGCGAAGATGAAAAGAGTAGAGTCACAGGTTAAGATCTGCCACGAGAAGGCAGACTGTTGAGGTGTAGGGAAGTCCTAGGTGCAGATCGTCTATCACAAACGTCTCAAGGGACTCAGCTACTGAAATCTGCGCCGTGGTGACTTTTAAAGGGCTGTGCGTGGTGCGCGCTCGACCTGAAGTGATCATTTTAAATGACATTTTTTGTTCTGATTCGCTTTAGATCCAAACTGACGGAACTTCTCTACTCATCACAACAAAGGTTATAAAGGCACCTAAGCATTTTCTCCATGGCGTACGCAAAACGAACAAAATGTCAAGGGTAGTGAGTTTGTGGAGAGGTGATGCTCAATACAAAAAGCTCTCTGCTCTTTATTAAACGTAAACTCGATCTCAGCAACGAAATTTGGGAATAATAATATCTGCAGACTTCTGTTGACTTGCTAGACTGTTGTAGCTTGCAATATGGCGCCATTGTTGCAACTTTTAGTAGTAGGTCTAATGCGAACTGGTGCGTAATGTTATGAAAATGGCGACAAAGTTGAAAATGGGTAGTTTTTTAAAATGTGCCATAGAGCGAAAAATAAAGCGAAACTATTCAATGGGCTTATCTAAACTGAATATCAGACAAATTCCTTTTGGCTTCCAAATTGTTATGTTCAAATTTGAAACGCAAAACTTCAGTATGGAGGAAGATATTTACAAAACAAGTTGTACAGTTTTATTTTTATGTAGTACGAGTAGTGCATGTATAAATTCTATGGGTAAAGGCTTCATGTAGTAAGTTTTTGTTTTTGTTTTGATGAAAGTAAAAATATTTTGGACATTATTGACTGATTAAAATTTTTTTTTTGTCTCTAGAATTTAAAAACAAAAACAAAAATGAAAATAAAAGACAAGAAGCGATTCAGGTTAGAGTCTTTACATTAGTTTCATGACACATTACTGAGTATGACTATTCTAATAGTATTTCACTTGAAAGTAGCTCCCCCCCCCCGCCGCCCCCCCCCCAAAAAAAAGACAAAACAACCCAATCCCAGCCCCCTCCCACGAAAAAAAACCCCAACGACACCCCAGAAAAAAACAACAACTAAAAAATTCAGAGTAAAGTTTTAAAAATATTCCTTGATACGTTGTTGATTATGATTATATTAAAGTATAATTATGACACACACATACAACGCGACAGAAAAGAAGAAAAAAAAATTCAGGTTAAAGTTTTGCCCTTTTTTCCATAACAAATTGTTGATTATACATGATGTATTTTGTTTTGTTGCTTTAATAAAAACATTGTTCAAAAGGAACCAAACAGCAAAATCCCAGTTCGAGTCTGAACATAATCACAGTGCTGCAGGCTTGAGCTGTTGTTGTTGTTGTTGTTGTTGTTGTTGCTGTGGTCGTTGTTGTTGCTGTTGTTGTTGCTGTGGTTGTTGTTGTTGTTGTTGTTATATTGTTGTTGATTATAAGTATGATAAAACATGTATTAAAAAAAACAACAATTTTTACTTCTTGAATAAAATAGATTTTAGTAAAGGAACCCAACAGCAGAATTCTGGCTCTAGTCTAAACCACTGCTGATTCAGTTTAAGATGTCTGTGTTGTAATGGGTTAGTCTCTGGTATACCATTCTGGTATGGTAAAGATTTTTTAATGGATTATTATCGTCTGTCTCCATGCGGGACGGTTTTGTCTTTAATTTTCAAATCGAGTTAACTTTAAGGAGAAAAAAGACGATAGAATAGGAGCCCAATAGCAAAATTCTTGCTCGAATCTGAACATAATCAAAGTACTGAAGACTATTTGTAGCTCAGAACTTGTGCTGATTCAGTTCACCGACGTCCGTGGTGTAGTGTGTTAGTCTCTTTGCCGTCACAATCAAGGGCTTTAAGTTTCAATCTGGTATGGGAATGATTTTTTTGCAGAGCATTTTTGTCCGTCTGCATGTAGGGACGGCTTTGTCTTTTCTCAACTCTCAACCCCAGTTAGCTGTGACAGGCAGGGTCTAACTGCCCACCTCATTAATGATCTCATTTGTAGAGAGAGGCGTAAAAGTTAATTCACATTTGAGTTCCTTCAGGTTTGAGGATTATATTTATGCATGCTGCTGGTTTGGTTTATTGTTAAAGTTAAATTTCTAAGTTAGTTCCAGTGTGATATATTCAGTTGACAGGATCACTCGAGATTCATCAATTATCTATTTGTGGTGGCCGAATTTTGTTATTCAAAAGGCTTTTTAAAGGCAGCATCGACCGACATGCGGTTTTCGCCAAAAGATTCTTTAAAATATTCTCCAGATCATGACGCCCTTCGTTTTTTCAGTTTTGAGACAGTTTTTCTGCAAAAAGCTAAAGTTCTTTATTTCCCCGATCGCTTTTGTAGGCCGACGCTTCTGTCTCTGGAATTTTAAGAAAATCCGCCAGGTTTGTTCATTTCAAGGGGTACTTCCGTTCGATAATCGATACTATCGCGCATTGTCGCGCAATACTGAGCACTATTTTAAGTTGCAACCCATAGGCTATGGATCTAGCCTCATGTTTTCTTTTTTTACTTGGTGCTAAATTCGACTGTGATCGTTTCGTTTGATGCTCGTCATCGCTTTTTCTGGACTTCTTTGTCAAATTCTTTTTCTTGCTACTGGGAACAATGTTAACTGGTCTTACATTAGAATCTAGATCTGCACTGATCATTCCTTTCATCGAAAGGGGGCCCAGCTAGTATATTATATTCTTGTACTTTGTATTCTTCACATATTAAAATAGATTTACATTTTCACTTTTTGTGTTAAGCGGTCTATTATATTAATATCTTCTAATAAGTTAGGATTAGACGTGTGGTTCCCCCCCAATTGTTTTTGTCGCATGGGACCCTTCCTGCAGTTGTCGAAGGGAGGTAACAGAATAGAGCAGAGGTTACAACCACTGTCGCGAGTGAAGTTCCTTTACATATGAGACAGTGGTAACATTAACTGTGGGTGGTTGGCGACCTCTCTTGGTCTTGTGTGGTTTGCTCTTTTTGTCTTGTCAAACATCTACCGTTCTTATCCTTTCCTCCTTCTTTACTCTCTTGTAACTCCTCTAATCTTTCACACTTATATGTCTTTATTGTGTTGCAAGGGGCGCATAACTCGTGCCAAATACAAATGAAATAGTTACATTTAGTAGACTGCGTTTTGGCTGAAACTGAAACGAATCAGCGAGATGTCATGCTAAGTCTGCGGAATGCAAAAGGGGGAGAAACTCTGCAATTGCAAAGCAGGAGATGGCAATTTTCGTCTCACGTCTAATAGTACCATATTACGGCCATGTTCCCTGGCCGCGGCCGTTGTCTGGGTACCCTCAACACAGCCTGGTTCCCTGAGTGCGGCCAGCAGCGTATGTCTTGCAATACTATCGTCACTAATACCCAGTGCCCACTGGGAGATCGACAAACTGATCGCCCGATTTGCGGCCTGAAAACAAACGGTTTTGTTTTTTTATTTTGAGGCTGCGAGTTGGGCGATCGGTTTGTGCCACGACGGTCGCTTTTCACCCTTAATCTGGCTATCACCGCCAACCAAATCGAACTGAACCGAAAAGAACCGTGCCTATGGGCTCTGGGTATAAGAAACAGAAAGTAGAGGAAAAGACAGAGGAAAGTCAGATGTAGGTCCATCGAAAACAATTCGAAATGATTTTATTTAGAACTCCGAACGCATCAAGCTCGGTGTTTGCTTGCTGGTTCATTTGTTTGTTTTGATATTTTTTATTATCAGTTCGATTTGTGCCAAATTTTTGGTCCGATTATCGTACTTGGCACTAAAATGGCAGTTTTATAATGAGACTATGAGACTACGGAACATTAATCTTTCGTACGCTGCAGGTTGTATATTAAGAAACACTACAGAAAATTGTCTTCTCTAAAACGTTCTCCTTTTAAACCATTTCCTGCTCTCTAACAATTGTTCCGTCGTCTGCTTTCGTCGCCACTTTCTGCCCCCCCCCTTACAAACCATTTGCCCACTTCTCTGGGCTCGTGACTCTTTCTACTGCTACTGAAGGAAAACAACATTCATGGTATGTTCCCCTCTATACGCTTATAGTCACTTTTTAAAAAGACCTTTACAATAATAAATATATGGTTTAATAATCAATTTATTATCAGTGAGTCATTTTTGAGTGTCATATATATGAAGCAAACCACCAAACATACCCCCCTGACCAGAGAACC